TTTTTTTTTTGTGGTCTCTCAGAAACTCCTCAGATGAGTAACAGTTGCTGTGTTGTGTTTTACAGAGCCCAACATGTAACTGCAGAAAACCAGACAGGTAAGTTTCCTCATGTTCCTGCTGTCAGAACCGATGAGCAACAGTAAAATTATCAGACACATAAAGTTTATTACTAGTCATTATTACATTGTCACCAACGTTTTCCACACTGAAAAATTTTGTTTATTCATATTTGATATTTTTAAATTTGGTAAAATCCTGTTCCAATATGTTTTGGCTAGCTTCCAGGTTAGGGTCAATTTGACTACTTTTCAATACCTAATGCATTTTTTTAAAATGTTGAAGCTGAAAACAGCATAGAAGATCAAGAACAGTTTTTCTATTCACAGCATCAAGATCATCTCTTATTAATGCTGTCATGTTTCTTTTCAGAATATTCTCAGCTGCAGAATCATCTGTTCACCATCCCATCAATCAGCAACATCAGTTATCTTCAGTTTGCCTCTTACTGTCTATTGAACAATAGTTGGGTAGAAGGTGGTGGGTCATTTTCAGTCTTGATTTTGTAAATACAAACAGGACTTCAGCTTATACACCATGTCGTAATTTAAGTGTGCTGTTTTTAATTTCTTGCTTTTCATCCTGTAAATGATTGTATCCATGCTTGATATGTAAACTCTGTAAGTGAAACTTTTCATTTCATAATTGGCCAAATTGTCTGTGAGGTTTTTCTATTTTTCTTTTTGATTTATTGCTTAAGGTGATTGTCGACAGCCTGTACTAAATAAAAGCCACAGTAGTACTTCTTTTGTCATTAATTAATAAACATCACAATAGTTACAAAATTATAGCTTACTATACAACAAAATACCTGTGAACTGTTGCTTTATTTCATTCCGAAGAGAAAATATGTCATAACTCAATGTTAGTTAGATATCTTCAAATAATTCTGCCAGTGTGAATTTATTCATAAAGTACTTAAAAAGCAGCTGTCTGATGCAATGAGGAGATGATTGTTTACATTCTGTACAGTAATTCCTACAATTGTGGATGCTGAAGGAGGGAGGATCTCCAGTAGCAGTCTTCCAATGAAGATGAAGAGTCCTCTGACTGAAGACTGCTGTTGTCTGACAGTCATAACATGCTAACAGCAGAACTGGTCTTCCACAATATCACATCCAGGGTGACTCCATAAGTTGGTTCGGCTGATCCATCTCCTTTGTTCTGCTGATCTTCAGGTTTCTGTCTGGATGTTTGGTCAAAGAGCTATTGGAGCTGGTGGTCTGATCATCACCTGTTGTAATGGATGGAAGAGTTTGAACTTCCTCCTCTCTGCCTCATGCAGATTCTGACTTAACTCCTCTGGCATGTGAGGTCAGAGTTCAGATAATAGTTAAGCTTTTGTGAACTTAATTAGCAATAAAGATGGTACTCCAAGACAGCTGTGTCTCACTGTTTATGTAAACTTCTGGTTTCAGTTGTACTTAAGTACTATGAATTCACTAAATAATGCTAAGGCATACAACTACCTGGGTTAACTGGACTGACTGTTTTAGCTTTGTCTTGACCCCACAGCCTGTAGTTTGTCTGACAGAGAGTTTCTCGTACTGTAACCACTCCGATGTTCTGCTATAACTTATTCAACATGTTTGACTCATGGAGCAGAAATTTCCTCCATGATGCTTCCAGCCAGATGTTACATTGCACATACTTTGAAGAGTAGACATAATCTTTAATGTCTCCACAGTTCAAAAGATGATTTGCCATGGAGTTCAATTTTATCATTCATGACTCAGCAGTCCGGTGGAAAGGAAACAGTTACGAAAAGGTTTCATAGTTGTATTTCATAAACTGTGAATGCGTCTCAGGACGCATTCACCCTTTATTAAGGTTTTATTCGCTGTAGTGGCCTTTATCTGAGAGTCAGTCAGGAAAGTGGGTAAAGAGAGAGAGGAAGGTCAAAGGTTACCAGGCCAGGAGGACTCACACCTGTGACACTGGGGTTTAGGACTAGTCCTCCATGTGTTGTGTGTTACTGCAATGCCAATGCAGCACCCAGACATGAATTCATCTTAAAAGTAGTTTATTTCAGTAACTCAATTCGAGGGGCGAAACACAGAGACTAATATATCTCTCGCATTTATTTTTTTGTTCAATTTGATAATAGTACTTTACAGCTGATGAAAAGCTTGCTGTAAATTTAGAATATCATATAAATAAAGCATTTTTTTAAATGCAGAAGTGTTCTGTCTTACTGACCTGACAGTTTCCTCAAACGGCCGTAAAACTTGTTTTCATTTTAGTCCAAATCAAGATCATAAATGTACTCAAAGGGCCGGTTATGGCAGAGTGTTTTAGTAAAACTACTCATTAAAAAATGATTCAGATATTGTAGAAGTCTCTGCATTTGGAATTTAAATAATATTGAGCAATTTTTTACATTGATATTTAAGTTGTGTGCTAATATTTAAGCACATAACTGTCATGTTTGTAGTACCTTCTCACGTGGCCCTTTAGCCCATCCCAGCTCATTGCAGGTCACAGCGCTCATGTCTACCAGGGTCCGAGCACCAAAATGTTTTCATTCATGATAAATAAAACAGAAGGAAACGTTTTTGCAACTCTGGAGCAAACAGCTGTGAGAAATACTGCACTGAGAGAAATACTGCAGCAATAGTCTTAGAAGAGCATGGCAATTGTCAGTCTGGGAAGGCTTTTAGCAATTTCCCCCAAATTTAAAGAATTAAATTAAAAATTGAAAGTTGCCAATCTTCCCATAACTGTGATGGAAAATCTGATTTGTCAAGCTGTGCCTCGGTAGTTTGTAGGAAGGACCATAGTCCTTCCTACAAACTACCGCACAGCACAGCTGGGACATCCAGCTGTGCTGCAGGGCACAGCTGGATGTCCCAGCAACTTCCTCCCACACTCAGAACAATAATTTAAAGACCAAATAGAGATATGATAGAATATTTATTACAAAATACTCCATAGTCAAACACAATAGTCAAGTAATGGTAACAGAAAGCAGGCTATGTGGCTTTTTTTCTTTTTTAAGTTTTCTACAAAAAAAACAAAACAACAAAACAAAAACAGAATCTGAATCGAGTATAAATTAAATGAGAGAGTCGACCGAATGAACAGGGATCAGTTTTATGTAGGAGGAGGTGAAACAGGATGAAGGAGCTTTAGATCTTGCATAATCCATCTCCAAATGTCTTCATCTTTCAAAACAAGTTTATGATCTTAGAATTTCCACTATGTCCACCAGATGGTAGTCTTGTCCTGGCGCCTGACTCAGACCACTTCCATTCTGAAGGTGCTTGTTATGGGAGCGTAGCTTTGAGTTTCAAATTGGGCTCTCCTTATTGAGCTCATTACCAGCTGCTGACCTGCTGGTCGATGGAGCAGGGGAGGTGATGTGCTGTAACTGTGTGATTTGGCTGATTATTTCTGTAGCTGTTCAGAAGCTTCGCTTCAGACTCAGTGTTTCCATCTGAGCTCATCATAAAATAATTTTTAACTTCTTCTGCAAAAAGGAGAATGAAGTTAATTATTAAATGTTATTGTAAAAACCTTATTGCATTGGTTGAAAGTCCATGTACTGAGATTTTGAATTTTTGAAGTTCAAACTAGAATATAAAGTTTATTTTCATGATTCTGGCTTACAGTTAATGTGAACCCAATATTCAGTTTATCTGAAACTTACAATATTATGTCAGACAAACACACAAAAATTTGTTAACAGAAATGTTTGCCTGCTCTTTTAATGATAATGATTTATTCACCATAAAAAGGAACACTAACCTTGTTCTAAAATGCTGGTGTGACAGTAGTGGTATCAGAAACCAGGCTATGTGAAGCAAGCCGAGTCAGTTGCATTGACAGACGTTTACTGTAAAAAGTAAATTATGTAAACCAAAGTGCAGAATGCTTTTACATCCAGCAATGACTGGAAATTGGTGGTTTTCCCTTCCCTTTTTTCAGGAAAGCATTAAAATTCCTGGGCAGGTGTTTCTGTGTTCCATGTACACAATTGGAATACCAGATGAAAAATATATTTCATGTTCATTTAATATGACTCCTAAGCTGCTGTGTGAAATGCAATACAACAGCATAATACTTCAGAATTCAATACAGATGTGATGGAATGAAAGCATCCTAATCCAGCCTGTTCTGGACTATAAAGTCCACCTCTAACCTGAGTTGAAAAAACAGGTTTCTATCAGAACAAAGTGAAAACATGAAACTAAAATATCTACAAATTGTGTGACTTAGTGATAAAGTTGCTGAAATTAACCCACTAAAAAATAAAAAAAGTGAATAGGCAAATTCTCACCGATAATTTTGATTTATATTCCACAACAAATGAACCAAACAGGTGAATCAGTGAATGTTGGTCCACTGTATCCATGTTGTGTTTGTGGCTCAGTGGGAAAAGTGGACATGGAGCTTTTAATGCCCCATGTTGAGGCATGCTGCCTGTCAGAGCTGTGTGTGTGTGTGTGTGTGAATGTGTTTCCATTGTGATCAGATGGGGAAACATGACCCACTGGTCTTGTGCATTACAATGCATTAAGTGGATGGTTTAACTAGATCTGAACCTAATGACTTGAACATATTGGGGGTGAACATGGAGTGATTGTTGCCTTTTAATCAACTTTCAATCATTAATTAAGCTTATAGGCTCAATTGGAATGTATATAATTGAACTGAAATTATTCATATGAAATTTGTTGTAAATTGGTGTTCTATAATTGAATCTGTCTGTCCTGGATGACTCTATACGAACTCTATCCAAATACAACGGACGGAGTTAAGATTGAAACCCAGTTATTCCCCATGTGCCCCGCTATGATGGACACGTCCTCAGGGGAAGGAACTCGTAAGGGACTCGGACACAGAGACTGGGTGAAAATGTCCAGATATCCCAGCAGTAATGTTGGTGCTGCCCTCTGTCTTTTTCTCGGTGTCAGTTGAATGAACTTCAGGACTCTGTGGAGCTGCCCTTCTGTGGTCTGTCCTTCCTCCTCCTCCTGCTCTTCTTCCTCCTCCTCCTTCTCTTTCTCCTCTTCCTCCTCCAGCTCCTCTTTATTGTGCAGCTAAATCCGTGGCGGATGTCCCTTTAACAGGCAGAGGCAGTCAACAGCAGCAGAGTGGAAGCAGCTTTCTCGTCCTTCAAACTGACCAGCGCGTCTTTCTGGCTCCTTCCGGCCGGCGCGGACCAGAGCATCCAGTCTGCAGCTCTCCTCCACAAGCGGTACGTTTCTTCAGCAGCATCTTCCTCGCCGTGTATGAGCCCAGCCATGAGAGCAGCTCCGAGTCTCAGGCTGTAGAAATGTTGCGCTCAGTGTCCGTGTTTTATTCACGTGTCTTTGTGGGATTCTGCTCTGGACTTGTGCGCTTTTCATGTGCAATATGTAAACGCATAAAGCTCTGATGTGTCAGATTTTGCTCTGAACGCTGTCCAGTCCGGCCCGTCACATGCCAAGCACAAAGAGGACAGTTGGTGGGACCAAATGGTTGGAAAGTTGAAATCGAGATGAGTGAACGGCCCTGGAGGTAGGGATCTGCTGCAAAGTGAGCAGGAAGGTGCTTTTGACCAGTTCCCAAGTTGTTTGAACTCTGCAGGGAAAGCAATACTGAGAGGTAACTGAGAGGAGCAGAATTAGATGGACATGAGATAAAACAAACAAACAAACAAACAAAAAAAAAAAAATCCCAAAACAAAACAAAACAAAACTACAAGTCTATTTAAAATAAATACAGGCATGTGTATCAAACAGAGATCACTTCAAAATGTGCAGTTTCTGTGATATTACTTTTAATAAAATAGCCATTTCTGTTTAATTTAATGAAAAATGAATCATTAAATAATTTCAAATATTTATTTGGAATATGATCTCAACTAATATGAAGAAAGCAGGCTCATATTCAGTCTCAACACACCAGTCGTGTTTCAGACGTCAGTGCGTGGAGGAATAATTCAGATTTTCATCCTCTTCTCTCCTGATCGCTCAACAGATCCATCCGTAATAGATGTAGAAAATGTTGGAAGTAATCTCATTATTTTTCCAGAACTGGGCTTCAGCATTTTTTCCAGTTTCGATATTTGGTTCTTTTTAGTCTTTTAGTCTTTTGTTTTTTTTAGTCTATTTATTTAATTTTATAAATATATTGTCACATTCTAAGTGTTCCATGTAGAGTTACTGCTCTTGATTTATTTATAAATCATAACTATATATAAATATATATAATATATAAAATATACATGTTGTGTGTACATTTTTTTTTCTTCTTTTGTGTACACATTTTTGTGTATAAGAGATCAACCAGAAACAACATACAGCAACTAAAATACAAGTTAAGATTTGAAATATTGAGAAACATGTAACAAAGAGAATCAGCAGCTCTGATGATGGTAGGATGGAAACGACATTTGATTTCAAACATTTACAAGTAGTGAAAAATGAAAGCATCAAATGAAACAGATAAAGGAAGAAAGGAATTCTGACCAGAACTAGACTTACATCCGAGACAATTAGACAAGTTAGAAAACTTCTAATCTGGCCTTTTCATACTCAGTCAGTGTAATAATCCCCGAATAAAATTTACAAATCTGAAATTAATCTAAAAAAAATTTGCATCTAAAGCTTTATATACTGATAAAGATACCCATCAGTTTCAGCTGTGAAATAACTTAATCTGTGAAAAAAATGATCACACTTATTTCTTTAGATGATAAAAATTTTGATTTTGAAGAAAAAAATAACAACCTGTTGTTACGTTAGATCAGAATCTGATGCAATATAATTACGAATCGACATTTTGTGGATATTAGGAGACATTTAATTTAACAGTCCTGGAATATGTCACAATTTTATATTAGTTTTTAAGTCAGTGTTTATATGCTTTTTTAATATATATATATATATATATATATATATATATATATATATATATATATATATATATATATATATATATATATATATTTTGAGGTATTGAAAATGAGCATATATATATATATATATATATATATATATATATATATATATATATATATATATATATATATATATATATATATATATAAAGTTTTTGATTTGTTTTAAGATTTGATATTGGAGCTGATCAAAAAAATGAGCAAATTTTTCTGACAGCAGTGAGAACACAGAGGAAGCTGAAATAAGTTAATCAGAGTTCTGAATCAAACAGCAGCCGAGTGTAAAACAAAGAGAAGAAGATTAGTTCTTTCATTAATAAGGCGCTGCAGGACTCTGCCAAAAACACACACATTTTTGTTTCCTTCAATTCAAGGAACCATTTAGATGAGAAAAACTAAAGAACGTGCAGAACTAAAAAGTAAAGCAATGAAAATAAATCATAACTGAATAACAGCATAATAGTAGATGGGATAAAGCTCTACGTGCATGCCAAATTACAGGCATGTAAACCTGGCTGGGAATGCAGCTGTCGTCCTCTCGGCGGAGAAGGAATGCTGCTGCTTGATGGTGTGCCAACAGGGGAAGATGGAAGTCAGCTCTTATTTTATGTTTCTATTATAAGGACTGCTGCAAATGATAATAAAAAGTGTAACAACGATACTACCTTGTTTATTATCACAGCAGCACTGTCGTTTTACTTTACCGGCTTAATTGCTGTTTTCTCGGGTCTTCTACTACAATTTAATTCTGTTTCAAACCTACAGGCAGTTTTATTTATTCTGCTGTATTTTTTCTGTTTCGAGGATATTCTCCCATCATGAATTCAGCAGCTGCCTTGTTTTTATTACTTCCATAAAAACAAACCAAATATACCTGCATTTATCTTAGAAATCATTTAGATTTTGATTCAAGGATCCATGTAAAGAGTGTGAGAATAAACAGGTGTGTGTCACATTTTGCAGCCATGGTACTGAAAATATTAGCTATTGTTTAGATTAATGTGGGAAACCTCATTTTATTTGAGGTATTGAAAATGAAAATGAGGTTTCTGCTGGAAGGAACCCCGGTTGTTCATTCCACCTCAGGAGTCAGCTGCTTACATTAACTACACAAACTATATCTCTTATGGGTTCTTCATGATGTCGAGTTCAAAACAGTGTTCCTTTAGAGGGGCAATGGGTGGCGCTCTTCTGATGACCAAACCATTGTTCTGGGTATTTTTTGCTACCAGAAACAGTTTCAAACAGAGTGCTTTGCTTTCATAACACCATAACATCTGTTCTGAGACTGAGGCTTTTTCAGAATATGTTTCTAAAGTCATCATTGGTGAAGCGATGCCATCCATGTTTTCTTCCAAGCTCTTTTCTGACTGAGTCCCCTTCTACTTGCGGCTGCCATCATCATTAATGTGCTTTTATTGCTGTCATTTTTATCATGGCTCCATATCGTGGTCTGTTAGTTCAGACGCGTTACTCCCTCTAACCGGGCAGCTTTTTCACTTTCTATTATTATATTAGTGAGGATAAGAACGGCAGAATCAGCCTGACAGGCATCCTTTCCTGATGAAAGGAACACAGATTTGCTCTCTCTCCTCTGTTTCAAGGAATGAAAACAGACCATTCTGAAATGATGCAGAAACCAGTTTTGATCGGTTTAAAATGCAAAATCAGCTGGTCTTCTCTTTTTAAACAGGCAACTTTTATTCAAACAGGTAGAAAAAGGTAACATTTGCAAGGGAAATGCGATCACCTCAGTTGCGTTATTACCGTGGGAACCTTTGACTACATAGGAAACAAACACAGTGACACACCTCTGTTATCAGGAAAGACTTGAAAATATGAATCATTTTTAGTGTTAAATGCTAATTTAGGAAAGTATTGTCAAGTGTGTTAAAGAATGAGCGCTCACTCTCTGGATTTCTGGGTCACATTCATCAGACAAATGAAGCTCTGTGCGATTCTGATGTGTTCATTCATATTTAAAATCAGAATACAATTTAACTCATTTGTAATTTTTTATTGTGAACTGCATTTCTGATAAATGATTCATAACATTTAATATGGATAAATGTAATAAAGACACATTTTATTTAAAGATATCAAACAGATATCTCTGCTTATTAGAGCTGTATTGATTTTTATTGCTTGTAGTCATAATTCTCAGCTTCACTCTGTAGACTTTTTTAGATCATTTTGGTCACCTCTGAATTATGGATGTGTTGTAAATGGTAAATGGACTGATAATATACAGAACTCTTCTAGACGCCCTGACCACTCGGAGCATTTCATAATCCAGCCACAATTGCATTCATTCACTTAGTCTAGTACCTTCCCATGGGCACATAGACAAGACAGGAGGAATCTGGAATCAAACCCAAAGCCTTCCAACTGTAGGACAACCACTCCATGCACCGTATCACCAGGTGCACCTAATAACCAGTAAAATATTATGTACATCTAATGAAGTAAATGTGGTATAACATAACCACATATATGTCAGTGTGGTTTGGAGTCATTGAAATTAAATGGTTATGCTTCTTATTTCATCATGGTAAAAAAACAACAACAACAACAAAAAAAAACAACTGACATTTTCTTTAGTATCTTTAGTATTTTTGTGTCGTAAAAACACAAATCCACACTGAGAGCTGCTTAGTAGTGCAGCTAATCTGATGACCTGTATAAGCATGCACCTTTTCACTGCAGCTTCTCATTCATTTTCCTTCACCAGAAACCACAAGGCCGTAGTGCTTGGAGAAACTGAAACAGCATTTTAATGAACCATCTCCAAATTAAAATCATTTTAATTCAGGCAAAACCTCATAAATTAAATGAAGTAAACTTGTGATTCATTTGCTGTCAAAAATAATTAAAAATACGGCACTGCACAATTCATTTCTGTTAAAAAACGTAATTGTGTGAAACCTGTACTGTTTTATTTAAAAGCTTAATTTTTCAGAGTTGAGATGTGCAGCAGAAAGAAAAAGGATTCAGCTGAATGTTAATGGAAGATAAAAAAGAAGTGGGGTGCGGTGCGGCAGTGGTGCTGGGGTCCTCAATGCAGCCACCGGCTCCAACGAAACTGAAGGTTTAACTGAAGGTTTTCTAAAACTCAACATGATGTCTGAGGTCCTGAACATGCTTGGAATGAGAAATGCAACAGGATCGCTGCAGCTTCTATAGAGGCTCGAGGCTCCAATAGCTACCCATCTTCCTGCTGGTTACCCTGTAGCCATGAGCTGCAAGTTTGTTGTCATGCAAACTTAGAGCAACCTTTTCAAATGTAAAAAAATAAAATAAAAGTTAATTAGGAG